TTGATGAGAGGTTTGTCTGTACTAAGATTAGTAAATATTAAAATACGATTATTTGCTATGCAAAGGTTAATTAATATTAATATACAATATTTTTCCATAGTAAGAATAGCTATTATTAATACACAATCTTTTTCAGTACAAAGGTTAGTTAATATTAATATATTTATTTTGCTGTACTAAGATTAGTTAAGATTAATATACAATCTCTTGCCATGCTATTCATTAATATATATATAAATACACAATCTTCTGTTGCACTAAGGTTAATTAATATTAATAATTTGACCTTTTACCCTATTAAGATTAGCTTATTTTAAGCTTATTTTATATTTATGCATTGCTTTTGTTTAGTTTTACATTTTTTGTATACATTTGAACTTTACAAGTTATCAAGTTATATCTGTTGAGTGCATTAGAACTATTGCTCACACTTTAGTTGGCCTGTAAGTCTAGAATGTAAAAAGTTTGTTTTAATTGTCTCTGCCTGAATTAGTAGTATGTGGATTTATCTTTATTGACATGCTAGCAGGTTAGGTTTAAGATTCCAAGTTCCCCCACACAGTATTGTCTAACAGGGCAAAAGCCTCATAGATGAAAGTGTTGGTTAGAGAATTTGGTAACAGAGTAATTGGGAGTTCAGTCACTGGGTCTGGGAATGAGTATTTGGACTGAGTGGAAATAGGGCAAGCAAGAACCGGGCAATACTAAATAATAACTAGACAAGATATGGCAAGACAGGGATAGTGGAATAAGAACAATCTATTCTTATAAATGAAATAAAGAGTTCAGTTTGTAATTTGCTGTAGTTTGTTAGATTATCCCCCCTTAATGATAATCACTGGTGGTGTGATTTTGAATTACCTTCCCATGACAATATTTACTGGTGGCGTAAGATTTAAAAGAATTTGCTCCTGCAAAAATGTAAGTACCTTTTCTCATTTCTCATTTTTCCTTTTGTAAAATGTCCTGTCAATATATTTATTAATATTTCTTTGTTTAAATTATATAATATAAAGAGCTATATATATTGCTACTGTAAAAATGTAAGTACTTCAACTATAGACAATGAAGGTTGCTTTGAACTCTTCACATTTAATGTCATTTCTCATTTTTCCTTTTGTAAAATGTCCCGTCAATATATTTATTAATATTTCTTTGTTCAGATTCTATGTCTTATTTTTTCCTTTGGACTTTCATCGGTCTGCCAAAATTGTTTGTGGATCAAATGCACTAGGAGCTTATAAAATCTCATCAGAAGTGTTGAAACCTTCAACAAGTTTACCCAGATCAACATATACCTATATGACAATGGCTGAAATGCTGTGATAACTACAAAGATGTGGACAATAGTTCATATGTAAATAATTTATTTTGATTATTTATAAAAAAAAATCAATTTGCTTAAATCTTCAGTTTTTTTTAAATATTTTGTAGCAATTAATTTTTATTCATGAGTTTTTTTTATGAAGACTTTTTAAGGATTTCATTTCTGTGTTTATTCTTTTACTTGAAACCGAATATATTTCTGAATACCATCACAAAAAAAGATAACAAAAATCATATCTCTATCTTTGAAAAGTTATTGTCTACATAAAAAAATATATATTTTCCATTTATTTTAAATTATTCTTTTTTCTTTTCAAAATATAATATATTTAATGTTTTAAAAACTTGTTCTTCTATCATCTTATGTTTTCTTGGTTTCCATTGGTAAGACATTTTTCTTGATACACTTTGAGACACTTATATTTTTCTGTTTTGTTTTTAAAATGAACACTTTCTTTAAATATTTGAACAAGGTTAGAATGAAAAAATAAAGAAGTCAGAAGATTTAGATATAAAATAAATGTTTTTTTTTCTGAATATCCATAATCCACCATGTACAGAGTACCTCAGAATTGTAAACATCTTTTCTGCCAATGAGATAAAGTTTGCACATTATGTGCTAAGATATGGAGGTCCCAAATGATTTTTATTTTGTTACCTTAGAAGAAAAACAGCATCTTCATAATTACTCCAGAGTTTTCACTCAGAACACACCAAAATTATTGAAATATTATTTATTTACAGCATCAAAGAATTCAGACCCATTGTCAAATGTGTTAATCTATGTGAGCTATCTCCCCTGAAAACTCTCCCTGCCGGGGAAAGGATTTCCGGTCGGAAGTCGGGTCGGCGGCCATGTTTGTTTATACTGAGTAGTTAGTGAGGAGTCGAATAAAATATTCTCTCCGTATCCGTTGTCGAAGTCCGTCATTCACATGTTTATATTTTTCTTTATGCACCTTGACAGTCCTTTATTTTTATACTAACAAAATGTATACATTTAATACTAAGATTCTTCTGAATCCTTCTGCTATCCTCTACCTTTACAAGAGTCAGATTATGCTGGAAATGGAATACTTCTACCATATATGGCCAGAAGCTTCTCACTCCTCACTTTCCAGTCTTGATAGAGTTTAAAAACCTCTCTGTGTCCTTGTGGCTGACAAATTATTTTCCACCATTTGACCTCTTTCTCACAGATGAAACATTACAAACTTCTTGCCTCTCTATTGCAATTTCCATTGAAAGTGTTCAGATGAAGTATATTACTTAGTTCCACCAGTTCTAACCTTTGCAGCTAAAACCTGTCATATTATGCACATTGTATCAAACTGTTATAGACAAGCGTATGGTTGCAAGAAAGAAATACGACAACAGTAGAAATAGATTTACGTGGTTTATTTCAACAGGAATGAGAGGGTTTGGGACAGCTACCTTGTGGTAAAGTTCATAAGCTGGCTTTCGGATCTGGTCGATCTCTCATAGTAGTTCACACATGTTGACGGTGGTTGATGCTCTCCTGCTGACAGCTTCTCAACGTGACCGGTCTCCTTTGTGGCCACCTGTTGACTGCCCGTTGAACTTCCGTGTAACCCCTTTTATGGCATTTTTTATGGCTTAACAGGCTCGAGAAATGAAGCGAGTATAATTAGGAGGGAAGCATTTTTATTGGACGAAAAATAGAGCACTTTAAATATTATTTTATTTTTCGACCGGAACACGTGTGTCGGGAACATTTTTAAAGAAAGATAATGGTCATTTTGTGACTGGGCTTTGTCCCGTTTACATCCAGTTCTCGCTCTTGAGTATTTGCCTGTAAATCAGCAGAGATATGTCTTATTTTATTTTATAACAAAACCACTCTCATTCAATATGTATTCCAGTGGTCAAAGTTCTACTCAAGACACTTTTTCCCAGGCTTTGTGGAAACAACTTCCAAGAGGATGCTTCCCTGATCATTACAATCCTAACCAGTTCAAGTCTATGGTTAACAAATACCTTTCCCACATATCCTCATAAAATGTTCCACTTACTCTGTAACCCTCTAGTTCGAGTGTGTCCCAGGCCTTGTACAAGGTGAACACAAATGTAAAAAAAAAAACTTATTGGCTTTTTTACCTTTAGATTTTTTCTAATATCTTTAGGAGTCAAGTGTTAAAATTTTTTTTTGATGCAAAACAACTTACTTCTTCTTAAGTCAGGATTTTATTTTAGTAAGAACAAATTTTAATTCTTTTAGCAATTTGTCTTTTAGAAGGTTATTTTTTGTTACAAACTTTCCACTAATTTTTCTTCACATCTGATTTTTGTTGCTTTTAATATTTTATTTTTAATGCCTGAAATTTACTTAATCCATTAATGTCCACAATAAAATCCAATAGTAATTTCAAAAATGAACAAGAAAGTACCTAGATGGTTGATCACTAGGGAATACTAGGTACCGTAAGCTTGTATGTGCAAGTGGTATAATGACTAAATGGCTCAGTTGGATTTGTTATATTCACCTAGGCATAAATACCCTCAAGAAAGATATGAATTGACCTCTTCTCCTCACCAGCTATAGGTTAATTAATAAAACTAGTATCCCTAACACTCATTATTATCTCCTCCTACAAAAAAATAAAATTGCATGCAAAATATCTAGATTTTGGCATTAAATAACTCATAGATGTTGATAGGCTGCTAAACAAAAATAGCTAACCAATGAACCAATGTATTTAGATAAGGTTTGAATATATGTCATTATGTTTTTGTTTACCATGCTTGAAACCATTTTCAGGATATGTAAAAGCTTTTCTATTTTGTCTTATTCTATTTGCCATATCACTTCCAAATATGGTTGATCATGCCTCTCCACAACTTCCAGTCCTTAGTAGTTCTTAGATCATTTTGTCATTTTACTATATCTTCTAATCCCTTTTCTGCCAACCATTTACATAAACTCATTAGGTAGCTTATTTACTGCTATCCTCTGTCTCTCTTGCCTTCAATATGTCTTGTGAGTGTTAAGTTTTCTAAGCCTTCTTTACATATAATGTGCCCTAGAAATTTCAATTTCCCCTGTATCTTTCTTGTTTCCATTTTCCCTAAAATATCCTTGTTACTCCCATGTTCAGTTCAAGGTATTCTCAGCATCCTTCTGTACAACCACATTTCTGCTGCCTCAGGACTCTTCATCATCTGTGAAGAGATCATCAAGGATTCAGTGCCAAATAGGAGGATTGATATTGCATAATTGTTCAGTACTCAATATATGTCTATATTTCTGAGATGAGGTATTGTAAATATTTACACTGTCTACATTGTTCAGACTGTTGTCGTCATCTTTGTTGTCACAGCAGAGGTAAACAAAAACTTGGAGAGTTTAGTTAAAGGGAAATAACAGAAACTGAGATATCCAGAAGAGGCATGGCATGTGGAACAAGAAAAATCTACCCCAGTGGGTGAAATAAAGGGTTTGGTTTGAAATTCCAATCACCTGAAGAATGCCAAAGCATACAATGGCTGAAACATTGTGAAAGTTCCAACATAGATGAGAATATAGACATGGTGATTCCTATCTCAATATATCTAGATAGGCACACAAAGATAAATAAATAGATGGAAACAATTTAGATAGGTAGGTAGATTGATATAAATATACTGAGATTGATATACAGATAGATATTAACCAACTAAGATAGATAGATAGATAGATAGATAGATAGATAGATATAGATAGATAGATATGAACAGATGGGTAGATAATTGATTTGATTTCTTTTGTTTTTATGACTTATCAATCCTTTGTGGTTTATTGGATAGATAGAATATTTTTTGCAAGTGAATAACAATCTTTTAGAAAAATTATGTTTTTTTCTATATACAAGATATATAGATAGATAGATAGATAGATAGATATGAATAGACTGAGATAGATAGACTGATAGATATTAAGCAACTGAGGTAGATAGATATAGATAGATAGATATGAACAGACTGAAATAAGATAGATAGATAGATAGATAGAAAGAAAGAAATAGATATAAAAAGACTGAAATAGATAGATTAGTCCAATTGCATGTGTTGTTTTTGGTTCAAAATCCCAGAAGTCTCCAAATTCCTTCGATGATCAAAGTTGGAATTTTGCCCAGCAAGCTTAACACAGAATTTTGTCCATAGATTTAATGCCTCTCGTTGCCTATCACCCATGGCTGGCTGTGTCACATCCAGCAGTTTGTCTGCCGGGCAATGTGTTGATAAAAGCTGTATTAGAATTCTTTACATCAAATCTGTAAATCAGGCTTCAATCTGTGCCCACTTTGTAACTTTTACATCAAGTTTGGCACCTGTCCAGATACCTGCAGAAGTTGCCAAATTTTATCAAATACAAAACAATGTCTTACCCAAGCTCAATGGTTTAGTTGCTGTAAAGAGAAGACTTGGAAAAGAGAAATAATCAAGAAAAGACAAGAGAATGTATATATATATATATATATATATATATATATATATATATTTATATGCATATTACAAATATATATATTTATGTCGATATAGTAATGGAAGTAAGCCTACACCTACATATCTCTATGTACTTGTATATCTGCTAATATATATATATATATATATATATATATATATATATATATATATATATATATATATATATATATCATTTGTAAAGTTTCAGATATAACTAAACATTGTGCAAAACTATAATATGAATAAAGACAGAAGGAAAACTTATCTTAGTGAACACATTTTGTCTTATGATGGGCTTTATCAAGGCAAATGTAAGGATTTCATTTTGCAACAAGTATTTATAATCAAAAGTTAAAATATTGTTAGTTTTTCATGAATTCTTAATAAAAGTATAGAAGAAAAGTATAGAATAAAAGTATAGAAAAAAGTTTAGAAGAAAACTATATAAAAAGTATAGAAGAAATATATAGAAAAAAGTATAGAAGAAAAGTATAGAAAAAAGTATAGAAGAAAGTATAGAGAAAAGTATAGAAGAAAAATATATAAAGAAGTATAGAAGAAATGTATAGAAAAAGTATAGAAGAAAAGTATAGAAAAAAGTATAGAAGAAAGTATAGAGAAAAATATAGAAGAAAACTATATAAAAAAGTATAGAAGAAAAGTATAGAAGAAAAGTATAGAAGAAAAGTATAGAAAAAAGTATAACAAAAAGTATAGAAGAAAAGTATAGAAAAAGTATAGAAAAAAGTATAGAAAAGTATAGAAGAAAAGTATAGGAAAAGTATAGAAGAAAAGTATAGAAGAAAACTATATAAAAAGTATAGAAGAAAAGTATAGAAAAAGTATAGAAGAAAAGTATAAAAAATGTATAGAAGAAAAGTATAGAAGAAAAGTATAGAAAAAGTATAGAAAAAAGTATAGAAAAAGTATAGAAGAAAAGTATAAAAAAATGTATAGAAGAAAAGTATAGAAGAAAACTATATAAAAAGTATAGAAGAAAAGTATAGCAAAAAGTATAGAAGAAAAGTATAGATGAAAAGTATAGAAAAAAGTATAGAAGAAAAGTATAGAAGAAAAGTATAGAAGAAAACTATATAAAAAGTATAGAAGAAAAGTATAGAAAAAGTATAGAAGAAAAGTATAAAAAATGTATAGAAGAAAAGTATAGAAGAAAAGTATAGAAAAAGTATAGAAGAAAAGTATAGAAGAAAAGTATAATAGAAACGTATAGAAAAAAGTATAGAAGAAAGTATAGAAGAAAAGTATAGAAGAAAACTATATAAAAAAGTATAGAAGAAATGTATAGAAAAAATGTATAGAAGAAAAGTATAGAAAAAAGTATAGAAGAAAACTATATAAAAAAGTATAGAAGAAAAGTATTGAAAAAAGTATAGAAAAAAGTATAGAGAAAAGTATAGAAGAAAACTATATAAAAAATATAGAAGAAAAGTATAGAAAAAGTATAGAAGAAAAGTATAGAAAAAGTATAGAAGAAAAATATAGAAGAAATCTATATAAAAAAGTATAGAAGAAAAGTATAGAAGAAAAGTATAGCAAAAAGTATAGAAGAAAAGTATAGAAGAAATCTATATAAAAAAGTATAGAAGAAAAGTATAGAAAAAAGTATAGAAGAAAGTATAAAGAAAAATATAGAAGAAAACTATATAAAAAAGTATAGAAGAAAAGTATAGAAAAAGTATAGAAGAAAAGTATAGAAGAAAAGTATAGAAAAATGTATAGCAAAAAGTATAGATGAAAAGTATAGAAGAAAAGTATAGAAGAAAACTATATAAAAAGTATAGAAGAAAAGTATAGAAAAAGTATAGAAAAAAGAATAGAAAATTATAGAAGAAAAGTATAGAAAAAGTATAGGAAAAGTATAGAAAAAGTATAGAAGAAAAGTATAGAAGAAAAGTATAATAGAAACGTATAGAAAAAGTATAGAAGAAAGTATAGAGAAAAAGTATAGAAGAAAACTATATAAAAAAGTATAGAAGAAAACTATATAAAAAGTATAGAAGAAAACTATATAAAAAGTATAGAAGAAAAGTATAGAAGAAAAGTATATTATGAAGGATGCTAAGTGAGTAAATGATAATGTTGATTGATTGTTTTTTATATTGTAATTAATATTTATATTTTAGGTTTGGAATAATATATTATATCTTAATAATTATATATACTTGAAAAAATCTGGGCACAGATTTATATTTTGATAAGATTTGATACTCACATTCACAGTAATTTTCCATCTAAGTTACTTTCTCTTTTCATCCTTCAAATCTATAAATCAACCATTCACCCTTGCATAAAATACTGCTGCCATATATGGTCTGGTGCCCCCACTGTTTGTCTTAAGGTCCTTGACAAAATCCAGTGACAGATATACAATGTGAGTGGCCCTGATCTGGCATCTTATCTACAGTCACTTTCTCACAGACGTGTCGTCGCTTCCCCCTGTCTTTTCTACAAATACTTTCATGGTAACTGTTCTGATGAGCTATTTTTTGCTGGTTCCCAGACTGCAGGAATTTAAACATGAAACTAAACTGGCATCTTGGTCCCACTCTTTCACTATCGAAACAGTTAAATGTAGCCATCTCTTCTACTCCAATAGCTTCATGTCTCACACCTCCTGTATGTGAAATTCCCTTCCTATTACTTGTTTCCCTGATAGCTATAATCTCCAACTATTTAAATGTAATGTCAATCGACATATCCAGATGCCTTGATCTATTCCCTGTCCTTCTCTTCATTCTTTTCTCTCTCATGCCTCTTTACTCTCACTCCCATTCTCTGTAACCCTATTTATTTCTGTGTATAACTAATGTATTTGATAATTTTTTGTGTATAAGATACTTTGTGTGTTCCCAAATACATTTTTTGAAATTTCTTCAAGTTTCCCCAATGTATTATGAGGAGCTGTCGTGACAGTTTGTATATATATATATATATATATATATATATATATATATATATATATATATATAAATAAATGGGGAAATAAACAATTGCTACCCAAATAATATAACACACACATATATATATATATATATATACATATATATATATATATATATATATATACACACATACATACATATATATATATATATATATATATATATATATATATATATATATATATATATAGTTTCTGTCTGATGATATTTTTTCTAATGGACAAAGATTCTTTCAAAGATGTGATTATAAAATGTTGTGTTGAATGCTTGGGTCAACACAAAATGCATTTCAAATAATTTATCAGTACATAACAGCCATGTTCATGAAAGAATATTTTTACATTGGATATTAAACATAATAAACAGAAAATGTTTTAACAGTTCATACATACATGCATACATACATGCATATATATGCACATACACACACAAATATATATATATATATATATATATATATATATATATATATATATATATACCATACCATACGAAAAACCTTACCATGGGTTGACCCAAATCTTGTGAGTGAAATTGGGTAGATAAAACTCATGTGGTCTATCGATAACTGTGTTAGCACAAAACCACAAGTCACCATGGCCGAGGGCTTGAGCGTGCTACCCTTATTCAGATTGTTTGATCACATTAGATAATATGCTATTTCCCAGTAACTCTAACTAAGGTCTGCTCAGCATAGTTGCACTATAAACCACAGGTGGCTTTTGTGAGTGTTGAGCAAACACAAAATGTGCCTGAGGGAGAGTCTGCAATAGGGATTGGCTAGCCACCCTAATATACGGGTATCCTTGAATATGTGGCCAGCTATTACATGTATATATATATATATATCTATATATATATATATATATATCTATATCTATATATATATATATATATATATATATATATATATATATATATATATTTAGTTTATGAAAAACTAGGTAATCCGTATGGGTAAACCTAAGGAGGATAAAATCCAGAGAGCTCAATGCAGTCCTTTTAAAAGGGCTGTGGTGAAATAATTTATTACATGGAACCTTATAGTGGTCTGTTTTTATTTAAATTATATATATATATATATATATATATATATATATATATATATATATATATATATATATATATATACAAGTATAACGTAGGTTCAAATGGGAGTACAATCCCAACTTCTATAACATTATATTTTTAAAAAGTGCTCAAACAAAGTAGAGTTTTATAATATTTATTTAAGATTATAGTATACTATATAACATATTTTTGCTATAATTTTAAATATATATATATATATATATATGTATGCATGTATATTTGTGTATTTAGGCAGCAATCATTCTTTCATGCACATTTCATTGAATATGACAGACAAGGTACTTTGATTTAGTTTTTTATAAAATTTCTTATTTTATAATAATATCAACTATGAACATAGATACAATGTCTTGACCGTATTTTGAAAATTAAAACATTATATAAATACATACATGCAACAATGCATTTCTTGTTAACAGTTAATCTATTTCAAAATTGAAAATGGTTAAATGTATATCTGAAAGTGCTTGGAAAGAGAACAATTGGATAGTTTTTATATAATTCATCTACCAAAAAGAAAAAATTGAAACATGTTTTCTTTAATTCAACTACAATATGTGTTTGTTAAATTTCTTATATTTTCCAAATTTTCAAATAATTTGCATATCCATATTGTGGTTAAACTGTCCAAAGTTCATATTTTTGTTTGTTTTTTGTTTGATTACTTTCAACCAACTCAGTTATTATCAAGAAAATGTTGTTAGTCTGGTAGACAAGGTTTTGTTGTCTGTGTCCTGACATTTTTGGAAATGTAACATTTGAAATTCAAATATGTCTCTATTGCATAACTGTCTCCAACAATAAAAACCATTATTTGTCTGAAGAAATTCTACCATTCTGCAAAGTAGGTTATACATTGTTTTCCTCAATCTGTCCTGTGAGTATCATGTTTTACAAGTCCTCTTTCCTCATTATGTGTCCTAGAAAATTCAACTGTCTCTTCCTGATGTTAAGAATAAGTGTCCATTTTATTTACATTTTCTCTAAAAGTTTGTCGTCGCTCTCATGTGTTTGGTCCATGGTATTCTCAGCATTTTCCTGTAGAACCAGATTTCTTTTACTTCAAGTTTTTTTAATGAAATGTTCCTGTTTCTTAATACTTTGCTTAGATTTCTGAAGATGTCTTTAATTATACTAATGCATCTTCATATTTCAATGTTGCATTTTCTTTATTCTGTTAAAACATGTCCCAAATATTTAAATTGTTGTATTTCATTCAATTCTAAAAAATTCTTTCAGATCATTACAAATCAAAATAACATTTTAGTCATTTAGTCTTTGCTTGTTATCTTAAAAATAATCTAAAACATATTGGCTGAGAAAAGAACATCTGGAATGGTTAATGAGTGTGAAACTTCAACATTATTTATGCCTTTTCACAATCAGTTCATGGTTACATACAACAATGTCCAGTGATCCGTGAGGAAAAAAATAACAAATGAAGCACATTAGTTTTAAGATTTTCATATTGAAGAAAATTGTTTTAACTCACTTTAAATAATTTTCTTTAATATTTATATACTATTTCTTTGTTCAATTAAACTAAATTCTAGATGAATCCTAGCTATCTGTCAGATTTTTTCAGCCCCATTTTCTTTCAATCTCAAGATTTATTAGATCTTAAAAAAATAATTAAACCTCCTGCTTCTTCTAAAATCACCATTTATTCAAAACTTGAAAATACAAAATATTACCAAGAGTTTATCTGTGCATGTTTAAATTGCCTACATATGGAACAATAACATTATCAAATTTGCTTTATAATTTAAAAATCTGATATTATCTGTGAGTTTTAACAAATTAGTAGAATAGAAAATTAGCTAACTATAATGCCTTCCTCGTGACAAATGTTCACATTGCCTTCTTTGAAATTGCTTACTAATGTCAAGGCAAAAATAAAATTATAAGGATTTGACACCTTATTATTTTCCTTGAAATGTGATAACATTTTGCATAACTTTCTCCTGATAACTTTTAGCATACAGCAAGAAATTCTAGTGTGCAAAAAATAAACAAACTTCAAGAAAGAATTTGAAGGAAACCAATTAAGTAAATCCATTTACTCTTTCCAGCAAAAACGCACAGCAAGAATCTTCTGTTGCATTATAAATGAAGTTTGTAATTGTTCTCCTCCAAGATGCAGTCAGAACAGAAAGCTGTCTGAAAGAAAAGAAAAGTAAAAATAAATAACCAGAACAACAAAAACAACTTGAAGCAATCAAGAAGGTGAATTAAAAAACTTTCAGATGAGTCTGAAACTCTAATGGCATTGAGACGTTTGGGAGATGCTATCAAATTTAATAATACTCAACTTTGGATATTATATTTTTGACTGATTTCACATTGGCACTTAAATGTTAAGAATTTGGGAGATGGTATCAACATTTATTAATAAAAGTGATTTCACATTGGCATTTAGATGTTAAGAATTTGGGAGACAGTCTCAAAATTTAATAATACTCAACTTTGGATGTTATATTTTCTCTGATTTCACTTTGGCATTTAGATGTTAAGAATTTTGGAGATGGTATCAAATTTAATAATATTCAACTGTGTATTTTATATTTTCACTGATTTCACTTTAGTATTTAAATGTTAAGAATTTGGGTGATGTTCTAAAAATTTATTAATAAAACAGATTTCACTTTAGTATTTAGATGTTATGAATTTGGCTAACAGTATTAAAATTTATTAATACTCAACTTTGGATGTTATATTTTGACTGATTTCACTTTGGCAATTAGATGTTAAGAATTTTGAAGTATAAAAATTTTTTATACTCAACTTTGGATGTTATAATTTGAACTGACTTCACATGGTTTATTTTTAAAACATTCTTTTCTTGTTTCGGTAATTTTGAAAATTTCAGCCTGTTTGAAAATCAAGAAAACAACAACAATTGTCAATGGCACTTCTTAATATATAAGTTCTTTAACAAATCCAATTATTACCTTTGTAAAGCATGAATAAGTACTACAAAAGTCAGTTCTGCTATTGTTTAATATTTTTATGCTTTTTATAAAGCTTAAAATATATTAGGATGACTAATCTTATCAAATGTGAAATTATGTAATGTCTGCAAGATAATAGAATCATCTTCATTCAGAATGGAAATCAAGGGTTAACCCAAAGGAATGTGAAAAAATGTACAAAACATATCACAAATTTGTAATATATTTCAATGTAAAAATGTGAATTGCACAAGACACTGCCAAAACAAACATTACACTCAGTGTTATATACAGTTTAGAGATGCTTGGGGAATCAGCAGTTTGATCTGAAAGATGTTCCCCAAGCCACCAGGTGTGGGTCCATGCTTCACATTGTTGTTGGATAGCCATGAATTGCAGCTAAATTGTTGGCCTTGTTGCACCTCTGATGTGCATGCATGTGAAAAGCCATATAACATGTAGGTATACAACCACCCACCCAAAAGGGCAAAAGAAAAAAATGTTAAAGGAGTTTTTCTTTGTATCTATGAGTAGCCTGGCGTTGAGGGAGTAAATTAGCAGCAATGGAGTAGTGATAGAGTTTGCCATCTTCTGAACCAATTCCTTAGTGGTCTGGTACAGTTAATCATCCAACTGAACAGTTTGGCCAGAATGCAGACAGGCTGTGAATTCAAACTTCCTCACCTTGATGCAGGAAAACCATTTCTGCTTCATTCTGTCAGTAATAAAGTCATCTCTGTACACAGCACAAACCTTTGAGCAAATTTGGCAGCTTTGTGAACCTTAATAAATAGCAAAGAAAAGATGGTGAACCTGCTCATTCTTGTCTACTTGACATTCCATTACAAAGTGGTGTCTAATAATCTGAAATAGCATTTTAGTAAGATTAGACAAGAGTTTAGACAGGATTTGAAAGTTACAAGTGAAAGGAAAACTCATTCTTCAAGATCATGTTCAGAACATCAGAAAAAGATGAATTAATATATAACAGCCTAATGATTTCTTTTACATCCATTCTGTTTATCAATTTAAAATATAACTGTTAGTCATCAGCATTCAAAAAAATATTGTGTAATAACTTTCCTGTTCAAAATTTTTAAAAAGCCATTTTTTATCTAAATCACATAGTTAAAAACCATTTATCTTATAATGTCAACTTAAATGGAAGATGAGCAAAGCTGAGATGCACAGCATAAATTCTGCCATACCACTGTCATTATAAATTCATCAGGTTTACAATTGTCAGGCTAAGCTGTGGCAAAAGCCTGAAATAGCAAATAAGATAATCATATTTGTTTTTCAGACAAGTATTACGATTTATCTTTCTTGATAATTTCCAGTTTTAAAATAGATAAGAAGTAAAAAAAATGTGCCCTATATTGCAATGTTAACAAAATCAGGAAAAAATGCTGAAGTCACCTGAAAATGTATTCAGTTCTTCCTAAATTCATGGCAAATACTTCAACATATATAAAAAAATATAGGTTATCTCCCTTTGGTAGCTAACTCCTGCTGATAATAAGAAGAGTCTATTATAAACTGATGATAATGGGTATGGCGCAAAATTAGGTGCAAAATAGGATCCGGGTACCAATTGAAAATGCCATGAACATGGACTAAAGAGATGTTTTTCTGCCAACTCCTAGAACAGACAATGTAAGCCATACACTAACCTTATTGATGCAAAGACAAAGGAGTTTATAGAGGCAGAATATGAATACCATTCTGGTATGTGTCTCATCTATTTCAAACAGATATGTATTTAGGATTTCATCCCTGATGCCTTGACTTTTAACTGCTAAAAAAATGTTTTAAGCAACCATCTATTCTCTTTCTCATTATGTATGTCTTTTATAAAGTATGTTTTAAAGCTGTTCAATTGTCTCACTTTGTTTATCAAGCCACATTAAATATCCTGCATTATGCTTACATTGAAATTCATTGAGACTTCTTAGAGATAGTTTTAATAAATGGAGAAAAGGAATTACAAACAGACATGTGTAAAAATTGGTAAACCTAACTAACAAAAACTGATATGAAACTTACCAATTATGAAGGTACATACAGTGAATGGAGTGGAAAAATGCAAACAGTTTACTGGATTCCATTTGACAAGATTGATGGTAGCATAAAGGGCAGGTAGAACAGAATTCCTACCTTTATTCTACTGATCATAGCAAATTTACAAAATTCACTTTCCAATTCAGTAAAATGCTATATGAACATCTGAAATATATATGCCAAATAAATAAGAAAAATATAAAGAAAGATAAAAAAATTCAGTGAAACACAATATTTCTACACATGACTTCCTATTAATCTTGACTATCACATCAACTAATACTTGGTAATGTATGGTAACTGGTTGTTTTTTTTCTATTTCTTTTTTAATAATTTCCCTCCAGCAAGGTTATAATGCCACAAAACTTCCAGGGGTTATTGAGAGTGAAAGTGAATAAGGAGACTATAGAGAAGAGAAAGAATAATAAAAAAAAAAAACATGATTCAGAAAGACAGAAGATGGTGACTGATGTTGCATTTAAATTTTTGAAGACTGTAGGTGGTAGAAAGCAAGAAACCCCAAGTGAGCTCCAGTGGCGAGAATTGCAAAAAAAAGAACAATTAGAATAAAACTTACAGTTACATCTAGCTGTTTCAACAGCTTAATGCTCCAACCAAGTTGCCAATCAAATAGTAAATTCATGTAGTTTTGGTATCAAGGAGGAAATCTCATGAGAATAATGAAAATATTTATAGAAAAGGCACAGGGAAGCCACATCAGTGGGAAGGTTACTGAAGTCAAGATGATAGGTCAGGACAAATTATATTACAAACCAGTCTTTGGATTTTATTTAGAACCTTGAGATATATAGACCAGATATGGCAGCAATATTCAATGCACAAGCAAATAGTAGATTTATGATTATACAAAATTCATTTTAATGAGAAAAATTGTCAAATTGAACCAACTTTTCTAGCAGCAGACCTAGCAATTGATTCAATATAATTGCTCTGCTTCATGTTAGTGGAAAACATAAGATCAACAAGATTAAATGAGCTACTCTCCTGGCGGTTAGCATCAGCCATACCGATGGAAGGCAAAAAGTTTCTCTATGACTGTTTCACTTTTGATGTGACCCCAGATTTAATAATTTGGAGATTTTAAATCAGGAGAGCTAAGTAAGAAATAATTGTAGATTCTCATTCCAGAAGAATCCATGCATACTAGCTTCCTCAGGGACTTGTGGTTTTCACTAAAGCTTTCATTGGTTTATATGATTCCATCAGGTTTTTCAGACATCAACTGCCCTTTCTTTTTCCCGTAGGACATGTACCTAATGTCCTTGTGTTGACAACATGAAATATGACGAGGTCCTGTTATAGTTAATGATGTGCTCAAATTTAATAGTCTAGAGAATTCAAATCAGAAGAGATAGGTTGTGAGTGAAAATTCTCTGCAAGCCACTCCTGGGTCATATTGGGTATATTCAAGGGAGC